ATTCATTATACTATGCTTCCTTCGCGAATTAACAGCACTTTAGACTAGATTTCAATTTTTACACCTAGCTGGCTCATACAGATACATCGGTTTCACTTCAGCAATGATGTACCAGATTCACGCTGCGAAAGATTGAAGAGCAGATTTTACGAAGCTTAAAAGTTCAGGCAAAACTGCATAAGTTCTTTACGCAATAATGTAGACATATCCGGAGCCCGTTTCTCGAAAGTCCCAATTGTTACTGGTCCCGAAAAGCTCTTTGCTGTTTGCCATGTTGACATTAGGGATTAGGATCTTGAGAGTCTTGAAACTTTTTTAAGAAATAAAACTATATGGAAACAAAACCTAGGAGACTGGTTTGTGAGCTAAGATATGCACCACTATTACTTCAAATTTAGATTTTAAAATACGACTCCGGCTCTGTGAAGTGACCGTGACTTTCGAGAAACGGGCCTACGTTGAAGAGGGAAAGATTCCTGTCGCACACCGTTAATAGTTTCATCTCCGTGTAGGATGAGAAATTTTCATCAGGTCATTCGTCAAGTCCTGTATCGATCAGTAACAGAACGAGAAAAGACAGCAAACTGCGAGAGAAGCTCCATTTTTTGTGTGGACAAGTGAAAACAGCCGCTTTCATCTGCATAACGGCGTTTTAGAGAGGACGATAGGTGAAAGCGCATCAAGTCGTTACCAAACGGAAACCCAGTAGCGTGGATAGGTGAGAGAAAAACGAAAGCGCCTGTCTGTCCAAAGATATTTTGAGTCCTTTCGGTTTGGGACTGAGAGGGATTCTTTTCAAACGAATTAGTGTTGTGGGAGACTTGGTTATACTGTATGCTTACTATTGGACATTTAGGACTGTAGTCTTATTTCGTTACATAATAGCCCATTCTTTTGAACCTTCAGAATAACTGAGATCCGCTGATACTGTATTCCTATCTTAACACCTGACCTAGCTGAGCTTCTGTTGTCTTACTAGAATAGTGCTTATGGGTCGCGTTTGTTTGTTCGAAGTAAGATAGACATAGCTGCGCAAACATTTTCATAGGCTTATTCCACCATTAGTGTCAACCGGGTTTTGAAGAAACCGGTTTAACGTATTCTACATGTATCTGTAAGTTGATCGACCGTGACCATTCTTGAGGAACCGCACTGAGTTATCTTGGAACAATTTTGCTCAGCATTTGTCATGTAGAATTGCAGTAATTTTTGTCAAAGGCAGTCTCCTAGGAAGTCCACAACTTCAGAGAGTTCTCTTTTTTTGGCTTCGTGATGTGCCCATCTTTCTTCTGCAAGTTTCGGTGTTACTTTCCAACGATCATGATAAATGACTTGTTTACATGCTGGACATTTCTTTCCTCCTGTAAAAAAAAATTAGTGAACGATCATGAAAAACAAGTGAACATTAAAAGAGAGTGAAGTGAATTTGAAAATATATTGAATTTGATGCTAAGAAAGTGTTCTTTTAGTTGATGGGGCGGGATTGGCAATGAAAAACTACTCTGCAACATCTCTTTGAGAGGATAAAAACATGTGCTGTGTTTCCCTTCCAAGTTTTAATGAACTTCTTAAAAAAATGTCAAACTCAATCATTACTTTAAGTCAAACAAAACAATTATCAGAGCAGCTGTTTTCATTTTAATTTCTTCTAAATCTTTCCTCATGAATTGTTTGCTAGAGTTGTGCTGAGATCCCAAATCAAATAGCCCTGCCTACTTTTCCCTAGTGCAGAAATCCTGCAGTACTGTAGGCTGTCAAATAATGACTTTACTTCTCTTAAAAGTTTGTCAAACAAGAGGCATCCTACCTTGAAAAGGAGGTGTTTTCATGTATTTGTCCAGACATCCATAATGAAATAGATGATTGCAGTAAACACGCTCAACATACTGATGATCTGTGGGTTCTGTAACAGCTTCCTGTGAAGAGTAAGAATGCTTTGCTTAATTATTATAACACAAGGATACAGATCTTTACCATCAGCAAGAGGCAACCTGGAATAAGCACTGCACTAACACCAACAGGTGAAAATGTAAAATAACTCTTTTGAAATACATGTTAGTTACATTTCCCCTGGAAAACAATATAGATCTCACTCCCTATAAAGTGGATCTTTAGAAGGAGAACTTTCAAAGAAAATTATGTAAACATTCCTTGCAAATGAAGTTTGAATATGTAATACTCTTCAGGTAATCAAGTATTGCTAGCCTTAAATAAGGGGCTACATAAGCTCTCTGAAAAAAATTCATTCATCTTCATGGTGCTTCATGCATGCGAGTGATGCAGTTTGGAGTTTGAAGAGTGCACATCTTCCTATCTTGAGATTACCTTTGGTTCTTCAGGGAGAGCTTTTTTTTTACATATAGGGCATCTCTCCTTAGGACATGGTCTGGCGCACTGATCAACTAGGAAATCACACACTAGCTTCAATGATGGCTTTGGTTCAAATGGTGGATCTCTGGAGATAGAAAAGTTACCATCACTAATGTTTTACTTTTCATCACCAGATACATGTATATGTTCCTTAAATTTAAATAAAAGTCATGCCTATTGGAAAACAGGTCTGACCGACAACAAATGAGTCTGAAAATTCCAAGATCTTTCTTGAAAAGAAAGATCTTAGAATTTGTACCCAAGTGAAGTTTAGAGAGTTTGTGAAGAAACAATATCTTCTACAATTAAAAGCTTAATAATTCAGTTTTTAAGTCAGACTTAACATACTTTGGTTTACGTCGCAATGGTGCCTCAACACATGTTCTTGCCATGTCTACAGCTTGACCAATAAATACTCTGACCAAATTCTCAGGAAAGTTTGAATCTTTCAGGTCTATCCTGTAAAAAAAAAAATCATGAGAAAATGATTTTCCTGGTTTTTAATAAGCAGAGGGGCTATGTGTTTACCCCACAATTTCCAACAAAGTTACTCTAAGACTTGTTTCTTTGTTTCAAACATATGCAGGGAGGTTTTTAAGTTTAGGGCATGAACTAGGCTAGCATGAACCTGGATATTGACTATATCTGGAGCCCAGTCTGACAATAATTGACCCATCTCATTGAAGACAAAGGTAAGACTCACTTCTCAATGATACACATATTCCAGCAAGAGGCTAATTTATTCAAACTGAAACATTCCACATACTTTATAGCAGAAGTGTGATAGTCATCAGGAACAGTTATCTTCACATCCAGATAATATCTAGGGGTAAATAATTTTAAAAAAACACTACTGTAGAATATTTGCAGTTAAAATCCAAATACACTAAGTGGAGTATACATATTTCACATTATTCAGTACAAATTTTCTGTGATATTTGGATAGTTGGTTAATTTGCACTGTAAAAAAAACTTGTTTGACTGGTTTGCTATGTGTGCCTTAAAATTGCCTCAAAGGAGAAACGCTACTTACTTGTCTTGATTTATATGTATGTTGAGCACTCCAGCTTTCTGTTTTATTTTCAGTTCATCACTATCTGATAGTAACTTTGACTTGATATACTGCAGCTCATCAGAGCATGCAATCAATGGATTCTCATCAAGAAATCGCCTCACAAATATAAGCATAGGGATAACCTGAAAGAAATTTTGCTCTACAATCAATAATATCTACAGCCAAAGACATTAATGAGTTGTTAATCGTAGCCTATTCTGACTGATAAGCTCCCTTCTCATGAATTTCCTCCCCTGTCATATTTAAAAGGCCCTTAAAGCATGCTCTAATAAACCCTGTGGTGGCTTCTATTTAACAGCTCATGGCACATTTTCCTCTTGTTTTGGTCTGTTGTGTCTCTGCAATATAAATTTATTTATTATAGGATTTCTGACACATTTATGTATGAAATGATAGCAAATGTTTTCACCTTGCATATTCAGTACTGCTCAAATGTAAGTTCACAGTGTTCACTCGATACTTGGTCCTCGATAATCGAAGCAATTGAGAATTGAGGAGTGAGATGCTCAAAGAACTTTTTTAAGATCTCAAGCTCCAGTATCAAGAAAACAATTTAATTTTTGCATGCAAAGCAATAGCGAGGGACAAAGCACTTGACATGCAGCTCTTCTTTAAACACACAGACAGCTTGCAGACATGCAAATATTTTCCTATCACGCATAAAAAAGGAAACAAACACATTTTTACTGAAGTTATCATCTACAGCTGTAAGCATTCGATGATAATTTGATTCCCTTTATCCTGTTGACCATGCTTCTTACTGATTGCAGCTAATGTTTGAAAAAATTGAATATTTATGGTTTGTTCTGAATTATTGGAAGGAATTCTATTTTTCCTTTAATGTAAAATATGTCTAACTAAATATCCCTTCCCCAAAAATTTAAATTAAAATTTCAACAAAAACCAGGAAAGTGACTTAATACTACATATACAATGTTGGTAAGATCAAGGTTCCAAACACTCGTGTGATAATCTTCCAAACACTCGTGTGGTAATCTTCCAAAACTAAATGCTGGCTGGAGACAACACCACTTACCTGAGGCTTACCCAAGAATTTCTTAGCCTCCTGATCACAAAGTTCCATCATTTTAGACAACAGCCTTGGGGGCAAAGTTTTGCTTTTCAGTTCTACTAGAATGCCATGGTTAGGATATTGCTCAGGAAATTGAAGCAGGACGATTACATTCTTGAATTTCGTTCTCCTGATGGACAGACAAGTAAGAGCTCGTATTAACTGGGCAACTCCCCAATTGAACCCTAAGTATCCTAGAGACCCCATCTTTTATTCCCAATGAATTTTTTGTGACCGTAAAAAAGGAACATTCTCTTACGTGATTCGAACATTGACAGCAACCGGATGACAAGAAATAATCTCAGATCCCTCCACTTTTTCGCTCAGTGTCTTCTTCACAATTTCTAGTTCATTTTCAATGGCCTTCTGCGTCTCAGGATCAGAAACCAAAGCCATTTTATAAACAAAATACTTCGAAACACCGGCATGAAAAATGTTGGTAAACTTTCACTATATAAATTGTGCCCAATCCTTTTCAGCGAAACCCGTGAGCCCGCGTCCTAGCAAATATCACCGCTGACATTGGCTGAGGGTTTTAATAAATTTATTTCTCGTTGGTTAGATGGTTATTGTTTGCTTTTTTAAACTCAGTTAGAACTCTGGAACCTATTATGGCTGCTGTTATTGGAATAGGTTTGCGTGGTTTGTGTGGCTTACGCCAAACTGTAGGTCGTCAAGTCGCTGTTGGGACATGGCTCCACAGTCAAAAGCTATCCACTTCACCTATCTCAGGTCAGGCTACAGGATCACCGAAGATTTACGAGATGCGCACGTACTACGTGAAACCTAAAGCTTTTGGTAAGGAAAGAAGTAATTCGTCATGATCTCATGTGCAATATTCTTGAAGGGTGACCCTGGGAAATATAGAGGCATTGGAATTAATGGACAAAGTTTGACCTTTTGTGAAGGTAGCACTTAAGGGTTTTCCTCTGATTTTGGGAATGGTACTTTGATATCTATAATACATTCCTTTCAAATCTGACCCACAAAGTGTAAAACTTCTGGGACGCCAGGTAAAATCAACCTACAATCAATCCTCTTCTATTAGCTGTTACCATATTTGTAGAAGTGTTTTGATTCCCCAGATGAAAGAGGGAAGGTTTCTCCTAGGAATTCTAGGTGGGCGTGTGCAGCCCCAATTATCCTAATTCAGACCCATTGTCGGACCAAAAATTACCTGTATAATCTTTAGCTATTCTCACACCAGCGTTCAGAAATATGCATTTGATTTGCAGTTACCACGAGGTCAAGAAGTTGTGAATTCACCCGAAAATTCAGCTTCAGTGAATGATGTGTTTGATTACAACGCTTTCTGTATCATTCATCTGGCGTAGAAAATGCAAATAGGTCTATATACTCTCTTGGTCACAGTTGGGTGGGACACATGCTTTTACAATGGACTTGACTGTGTGTAATGGAGTACTGGCCCTCCTATGCATCAGCTTTTTAAGGCTTCATTGCTATGGATATATCTAAAGTTTTATTGTGTTACCATGTCAAGTGGTGAAACTCCTTCCCTTTCATTTACTGTTTTTGATTTAAAGTTTACCAAAGAGTGGCTGGTTTTTGAGATAAGACAGATAACAAAAATATCTTCTCTACAAGTGACTTTTTTTCCTTGTATTGCAGCTGAGTTCATGCAGTTAACATATGATTACATACATCTAAAGGCTGACAGTAATTCAAAATTGAATGGCTACTGGACAAGTGATATTGGTGGACTAAACGAGGTCACACACATTTGGGAATATGGTAATTTTAGTTAGTCACAAATCACTTGTCTCTAATTGCAAGGGTTGCAATGAACATAGTTTTGTATTTGGATTGCTTCTAAATTTCCCTTTGTTATTCTTAAATGTGCCATGCTTCTTCTCCCATTTCCATGAATGCCTGTCCAGATAATTTTTCAGTTCCTTGCAATGATGTTGATGATCCACTGAGTGTCTTAAAACTTTATCAAAATTGAAAGTTACAATGATGGAGGACAACACCATGCATTAAGAGGAAGGTTAAGGAGACTATAGAGATCAATAGGAGATATCCATCACTTAAGAAAGACAAGGGGCTTGAGCTTCTTAAGATTTACAGCACTATACTCCCATGGAGGAGGACCTCGCTGAGCTAGTAAGCTAGTAATTACATAATTTAATACTCTATGACCACTCACATTCCAACAGACTGATGAAGGCTGAGCAATTCAGACAAATATATCCAGGAAAATCAATCAATTGCTTTACCAAAATTGATGACAATGGCCAATTTTAAAAATGCAAATACTAAAAGTGGCCAGCAAGATCTCAAGCCTCTTCAACTGATATGGTGATATAAAGAATCTATACCTATCAGTTAGTGTTTTAGGGAAAAACCAAATTAAATGCAACCCTGTTTTACTTTCTAAACTCAACTTAAAATTACTTTACTGTGAGGATTCTCATGATATGGTATGATATTTAGCTAACTGAATATTATTTCTTAGACAGCTACACAGAGAAGATGGAGGCACAAAAATCTCTTTTGCAAGATGAAACCTGGGTCAATAACTACAGAAAGAAAATACTAAAGATGTTAGTTAAGCAGGTACAACCCTCATTATCTGAAATAATTTTGAGAGACATTTTATTTTTTTCATAAAATAACTTTATTCTCTCTGCTTGTAGGGAATATCTTCATTCATCATAGGGTTGACAGATTTTTGAGTAACCTT